CTCGGGGGGCAGCGCTGCGGGTCGGCCCCAGCCCTCGCTGCCGAACGCTCCTCTCCTCCCCGCGGGGAGCCGGGCTCGGCCCGGTGCTGAGGCGTGAAGCGCTCGGCTTGTCCTCGCCGAGCTCGCCCTTCCTCATCTTCTTCTTTCTCCTCTTCCTCTCGGGACTGGCGTGGGCGCAGGGCTCGGCCCCTTAACGCCGGGGCTGGCCGGCGAGGTTTGCCCCATCAGGGCCGGGCCGCGGTTTCGGCGGCGGGGCCCGGCAGGGCGCTGGAGCCGCCGCGCGGAGCCCCCGGCCCGCCTCGGGCAGTGGCTGGGCTTGAGGGGCCGCAGCCCTGGATGCGCCATGTCTCGGTGCCCCCATACGCCCCTGGGGGGGGGGGGGGGGCTGTTAACGGCACTGCTCCTAGTGAGCCTTTTTTTTAATTCCTTGTTAAAAAAACCCTCTTTCTAATAACAGAAGACCTACAACGATCAAAAGTTACTATCTGAGAGTTAATTGATATCCAGTAGTTGTATTGAACAGTATTCACGTGTGTTATCCTGCATATTCTCAGAACTGTATGAAGTTAGATCTAAATAAATAGACTTTTCCCTTGGTTCAGTCAATGAAATATTTTCTTCCCTCGTTCAGATTAGTTCTTTTGGAGATTAAACAGTTGGAGAGGAAAATGACATCGATTATCAAGTTAACTACGCTTTCAGGGGTGCAGGAGGAATCTGCCCTTTGCTATCTGTTACAAGTAGATGAATTTCGTTTTCTTTTGGACTGTGGCTGGGATGAAAACTTTTCTATGGATATTATTGATTCTCTGAGGAAGTAAGTACTTCAGTTTGTACACTTTTTTTTTTTAATAGGTCTTGTCCTTTTCTGAAAGTTTCCAAATTACCATGTAATGGTATGTGTATGGTGATGTTAAATACAAAATTGTTCTTTTGTTGTTGTTGTTTGAAGTATGTTTTATGTGAAGTGAATTATGCTGCTGAAACATTTTCAGTAGAAGCTTGGGTTTTTTCTTGTGAGTCTACTGAGTTACATCTTTTAACTGTAATTTTCAAACTGTTCTGTGTTTGTTTTGGCTTGGTTGTTTTGGTTTTTTCTGTAAACATTTCATAAACAGAGAAGAGTTTATGGAAGACTGAGCTTGGCTCTAAACTAATGTAGAACGGTTAACTAAGTTTTAAATGAAAGAATCCTTAGTGTATGTAGGTGGAATACAAAGTGGTTCAACTCTAGCCTCTTGTTTCAAGTTGAATAGACTGTCAGTCAGGAAAACAGCTTCTGCTAGTTATCCCAGCCCTGTAAAGAAATAAACCTGTCTAGACTTTAATACTGAACTTCTGCAGATTTACAGCAAGGAGCCTTGCTGATGCAAGCATTGATTACAAGGCTAGGACTGAAACATGGAAATTCCTGAAAGAAACTAAGCTTTGTGATGCTATTTCTATAAATTCACTTTTCTAGCATTGACACACTTGTAGTGTTTGAAGTCTTAATTGAGGATTAGTATGTACTAAGGATAGTTTATAAAATTTTTCAAGTGATGATAATTTATAAATTTTTTTGACTGTCTTACCTGAGAAGCAATTAGATTAAATCCCCTTTTAAATAACAGCCATCAAGAAGAATGTCTGTGCCCTGGTTACTATGTGAGGGAACAGAAAGCTTTCAGCTCAACTTGTATTTTCACTTGTTGCATGTGTTTTATGCCCTCAAGTTTTTCAGTTATGATAGGTGGTAAGTTTTTAGTCTGAGTTCTTATTTTATGCAACACTTTGCAAGAAAAAAATCTTCTGTTTTTAAAATTAATAAAAAACCCCAAATTTATGTGCCACTTAAATGATATATTTGACCTTTTCTATTTTTAAAGAAATATATTTTGATTTGATCCTTATCAGTTCAAAGATGGTGGTGTCTTTGGTCCTGTTACTTGATCTTTCTCATTAGGAGAAAATTTGTAGCATGTCTGCATTGATAGTATTTTTGGCCCCTCAGTTAGTGTACCTTCTGGTGTCCAGGTGTATATTAAGGTCTTTTTAATCAAGAATTTGATGTGAAACGTAAGTCTTCCAGACCTTGAAATTATGTTTTTGGAAGTCACTTGCATTTTAAAGTACTTGAAGATTTGGAAATAGCTGTCATTTTTAGCTATGATTTTTAAAACTTTGTTCTAAAGCTGGAAGGATATAAGTTTTCTTGTTTGGCATTCAGACTGTGTATGTGTTCTCAAAGTAGCCATAATAGGGAGTATCTGACACCATACAGAACTCTTTTCACCAACTTCTGTTGTCCCTCTTTTTGTAGACACGTACACCAGGTTGATGCTGTTCTTCTTTCTCATCCTGACCCTCTACACCTTGGTGCTCTTCCATATGCAGTTGGAAAAATGGGGTTGAATTGTGCAATTTATGCAACTATTCCTGTATATAAAATGGGACAGATGTTTATGTATGATCTCTACCAGGTATACTTAAGTTGATACTCTCATACACAACACCTTTGATATGGTAGAGTGCTCATGTTCTTGAATGCTTTATACTTCTTATTTGTTTTAGTCCCGCCATAATACTGAAGATTTCACACTCTTTACGTTGGATGATGTAGATGCAGCCTTTGATAAGATACAACAGCTGAAGTTTTCTCAGATTGTGAACTTGAAAGGTAAAGTTGTCACTAAAGTTTCAATAAATGACTTTTAGTGAAAGGCAGCAGAGTCATTAAGAGTTAAAAGTAACTTTTTTTTTTCAAGGGAGTAAGTTTTGAAATGTGCATTTTGCAGGGCTGAATTCAGTAGCAGTGTGCGTCAGTCTATATCAGCTGAGTGTTTGCCTCAGTAATTGTATGTGGAAATGGGTAGAATTTCCACTTAACGAGGAGGTCATGCCAAAGCATATTTAGAGATTTGTTTCTCTTTTGTGTTTTTGTAACTTTTCTTGGAATTAGCTCGTCTCTCAAATGCATTTACTCATGCCTAGTGGTAGATACCTCAGAACTCTTCAGTAACCAGTAACACAAAGGAAAGCTTTCTAGAGAATGGATAGGTTGCAGAGATTAAGTTACAGCATGTGGATGATTTAGTGAGGTCTTCACTGACTCTGAATGATACTTAGTGTAGCTTATTGCTAGGAACTGTGCAGCTTTTCACTCTTGTTGAATTTAAAGATCAGAATGAAATGGAAACCATGTTCTTGAACAAAGACATGTACAATCTGACCACCAGCAGCTTGTCTCTGAGATGCAGTATGTCCCAGTTCCTGAATGCTGCTTGCCAAAATACTTGCCCTGTAATTTGGAAAATAGAAATGGGATGCCATCCTTGAAAGTCTGCTGACCCTTTTTCAAAATATTTGTAGCAAGCCTATGTCCATGCTGCTAACTTTTACATCCTAAAATTAATTTTAGTGAACAGCTTTTTTAAAACACCCTACTTTTTTCATATTTAATGGAAGTGACCCAGAAAGACTCAATGGATACATCCATCCAATAATATATGTTTTAATTATTATTAAAGCTGTGCACTTCTGTTCAAGTTGGTGGAATGCAGTGAACTCGGTGAGTAATGGTCATGGGATGGTCTAGTTTTACTCTGACAAAGAAATGGGCTAGCACCAGTGATGAGGAGCAACAGTGCATTATTTTAAAAAAAAAAAAAAGGCATCAGGTGCTGAAAAGATTAGTCATCCCTGACTGCAACACATGAACACCTTTCCTGGTATTGTTTGACTTGCACGTTTGTCATTCTGGAAAACTTCCAGTTTGTGTAATTTATATGTGTGTTTTAAGTACCTAGACAGTGAATGATATATGAAACATTTTGTGTTGCCCCAGAGAGGAGTCTGCCTTTCACCAGTGTACTTGCTTGCTTGCAATATGTTTGTTATATCATTTACTGTTGTTTAGATCTGTAGTTACAGCAGCTCTGCGGTGCCTCTGAATACTGGTGGGTGGTGGAGGGAAGAAGTGATCTTCACTTTAGTTTCTTTTTCTGGAGGCAAAATAGAAGTGAATTGCAAAAAATTTTGAAGCTAGTGGTTAGATGGGAAGGACAGATATGTTACTGATTTTTCATACTTCATTTGATGTTTTTCCCCAGTAATAATTTTGGCATTCAGCTGTTTAAAATTACTCTCTCTTATTCAGAGTAATGGATTTTAATACATGTAACGTACCTAAAATACTGAAAACTTTTGTAGGCAAAGGACATGGTTTGTCAATCACACCATTGCCAGCTGGCCACATGATAGGAGGCACAATTTGGAAGATTGTCAAGGATGGAGAGGAAGAAATTGTTTATGCAGTTGATTTCAACCACAAGAGGGAGATGTAAGTTCGACATAGCAATACATATTTCTTAGATGTTGTATTAGTTGTGCATTGTTTAGTGTGTGATAAACAGGTATGGTAGTAGTAGTGCCTTTCCAGCTCTAAGATGACCGCTAATTTTACTTGCATTCAGATTAATCAATTTGAAACAAGCATTAGCTCTGGGTTTCTTCATTCCACTCAGTTTTATTTATTTCTAAGTTTGAAGCAGGAAACATTCAGCTACTGAGGAGTTTGATTTCTGTACATGCAAACATCTGGAAACTAGCTGTCTTATTTTTTCTCATAAAATAGAAGTGCAAAAAGTGAGATTTTGCCTTTTTTC